ACATAATTTTTTTTTAAGGAAATCACCCATAAAATAAAATGAAACTCTAAGTGAAAATCCCTCAAAATATATTCTAATAAGTAGAAAATCTAGAACAAATGAATTTGTTCCTAGACACATCTGACTTATCTATATCCAGTAATGAGATTAAAGCTGAAATAATCTCCCAAAAAAGTAAAGGCCAGGGTTGTAAAGGCCAAGGCCAGCCAGATGGACTCACTGATGAATTTTAAGAGACTTTTAAAGAACTAATGTCAACAACCCTAGAAATAATCCATAAAAAATAGGAGGAAGGAAATGACCACAGTCAGTCTATAAATTCAATTTATCCTGAGACCTAAACCAGATAAGAACATAACATTAAAAGAATATTATTACAAAACCCTTCATCAATTGCTTGCAAATCAACCTTCACATCACATTAAAGAGATCATATGCCATATGCAGATGTGGTGGCTCACACTTGTAATCCAGGACTAGAGAATCTGAAGTAGAAGGATTGTTGTGAGTTCAAGGCCAGCCTGAGTTCCATAATTCTAGGCCAGTTTGGGCTACAGAGGGAAACCCTGTCCCAAGCAAAGAGACAGACAGACAGACAACAATCATTCATTTAGTGATGATGCAGGGATGGTTCAATAGATTAAAACTGTAAATGTAATATGGAACATCAATAGACCCAAGGACATAGATCACATGATCATCTCATTAGATGCAGAAAAGGCCTTTGGCAACATTCAGCCCTTCATGATAAAAGCCAGAAGAAACTAGAAATACAGGAAACATAACTTTACATAAAAATTTACCTACAGTGAACCTATGACCAGTATCAGAACAAATAGCTTAAAATAGAAAACATTTCCTCTTAAATAAGGAATAAAACTGTCTACTTTCTCTAATTTCATTCAGTAGAGTGCTGGGAGTCTTAGTCAGAGCTAAAAGTCAAAAGAAAGAAAGAAAGAAAGAAAGAAAGAAAGAAAGAAAGAAAGAAAGAAAGAAAGAAAGAAAGAAAGAAAGAAAGAAAGAAAGAAAGAAAAGAAAAATCCTATGAATAGGCATGAAAGAACTCAAATTATCCCCAATTGTGGTTCTTATGATCTTATATTTAAAAGTCTCATAATATTAAAAAAAACTCTTAGATTTTATAAACATATTTAGCGAAGTACCAGAATATAAAAACCAATATACAGAAATTAGTAGCTTGTCTTCACATCAATACTGAAATAGACTGAGAAGAAAATTAGAAAATATATCCAACTCACATTTGCCTCAAGAAGAACAAACCTAGTCAAAAAGGCAAAAGACCTCTACAATGAATGAAAACTTTAAAAACTGAAGAAATAAATTGAAGATGACCCAGGAAGATTATATATATGAGCTCTCATGTTCATGGATTGGCAGGATTAATATTGTGGAAATAGCTATGCTACTGAAAGTAGTCTAAAGGTTCAGTGCAATCCCTATCAAAATTCTAATAACATTTTTCATACAAATAGAAAACAATTTCTTAAATCACCTGGCAGCACAAAATAGCCACAGCAATCTTGAGTAATGTTAGAGGTAAAATCATACTTGATTTCAAATTATATTATAGAGCCATAGTAAAACAAACAAACAAACAAACAGTATGGTACAGGCACAGAAACACTTTTGAATACTAGTGGAACAAAATAGGGGACCCAGAAATAAATCCATGCAAAAAGAGCATTTTTAACAAATAGTGCTTGGAAAATTAAAACTGTATATCCATCACACCTAGGTAAAACCATGAAGAATTCTAAACATACAGCAGAGATGTTTGCACATCCATGTTTATTGCTACATTAATTATAATAGCTAAAACATGGTTATTATATTAACATGTCTCTAATACCACTGTACCTATGGCAAGATAGGAAGTGAAGACAGGAGAATCACCAGAAACTGGTTGGTCAGCTTGCTTGGTCTATAGATTGGCAAACAAGAGACTCTGACTCAAAACAAGGTGGGAAGTAAAGACTGATACCTAAGTTGTCCTCTGATGTACACACACACACACACACACACACACACACACACACACACACACACATGAGAGAGAGAGAGACAGAGACAGAGACAGAGAGAGACGAGAGAGAGATTAAAAACCAGATGACAGAACAAACAAAGTATATGCACAATGAAAATTTTCCTCAGTGTACAGAGGACCAAAATGGAGAACTGGATACATATGGAGGTCATCAGGTTAAACCAAACAAGACAGACACATAGAGATAAACATTATTTATTTTTTCTGATATTTGGCATCTAGTTGTTAAAATATATAACATAAAAGTGGAAAGTTTTGTTTAGGGGGAGAAAAGGAAGTAGAAAACAAGAATAAGGTAAAATCTAGATTTACTGTGTATATTATATTCATGAGAAATACATACATACAAGCCTAAAGGGTATTACTAAGGAGAAGGAATGGGGAGACAAGAGAAGGCATAAAAGGTATGAATATGAGTGAAGTATAATGATACACATGTGCAAAAAACCCACTCCTTCATGCCTACTCAAGCAACCCCAACTCTACTTTCACCACAAATAGGAATGAAAGTTGGAGGCAAAATTATTGGGAAAAAAATAAGCGATAGATACCAAATAAGAGAGAGTAACAGGGTTGAAAATCACTAAAACTCATCTAGTTGCACAAAACTGTCAAAGAATAATAATAAATAAATATAAAAAATAGAATACTTAAACCCATTTTGCATGCTAATTAAAACAACGTTTGAAAAATTATTTGAATGTGACCAATGAATATCTTCTTTTTGGAGCCTTGTTAGACAGATTACAGGGTACATGATGGCAGCTGTCACATTTGTCTCATTGCCTAGCACAATACATGGAAGGTACAAGTACATCCCCTTGTCTGTGTTATAAATAAAGGGAAGAACAGGGGATCTAGGGAATCTTGAGGGCTGTCTGCAAAAGTTTGAAAGGTTGAGTGGACTTGGTTGAGCTGTGGTGTCAATCACATTAATGACATGAAAATGATAGAGATAAATTTTAGCTGTCATATCAAAAATATTTTTAATTAATTAGTTAATTTTAATGAAAATAGAATATTCTTTCATATAGTAAGTACATCCTGAGCACAGTTTTCTCTCCCAACCACTACCTCCCCTCCCCCCTGGATCCAACCCTACTCTGTTTCCTCTTTAGAAAAGAGCAGGCCTCCAATAGGAAGAGGAAGAAAAGAGTCCCATGAACAGACAAAAAAGTCAGAGATACACCCTATCCCACTGTTAGGTGTCCCACAGAAACAAAAAGTAATAGCATAACATACATACAGAGAACTGGGTGCAGACACATGCAGACCCATGCAGGCCCATGCTTGCTGCTTCAGTCTCTGTGAGCCCACATGAGCCATGCTTAGTTGATTTAATGGACCATGTTCTCCTCGTGTCCTCCATCCCCTCTGACTCCTACAATTTTTCTTCCCATTCTTCCTTGGGTTTCCTGAGCTACAAGGGGAGGGACCCAATGGTGACCTCCAATTTAGACTTCTCTCCACTCAGTGTCTGGCTGTGGGTCTCTGTACCCACTTCCATATGCTTCTGGAGGAAGCCTCTGGAATGATGACTGTGAGTACAGTAGAATATATTAGGAATCATGTCATTTTACTTATTTTATTTTACTTTACTTTTGCTGATTGTGTTTGGTTCTACCCTAGGTCTCTGGACTATCCAGTTTCTAGTTTCTGGCCATCCAGACAGTGGAGAGCATGGGCTCCTTCTCCTGGTGTGGGCCTCAAGTTAAACCAAGCGTGGATTGGCCACTCCTACAAGTTCTACACCAACATTGCCCCAGCACATCTTGCAGACAGGACAGATTATAGGACAAAGATTTTGTCCCTGAGTTGGCATCCAGGTTTCTCTTTCTGTAGCCTGCAAAGTACCTTCTCATGACAAAGAGATTAGAACTTGGGGGTGAAACCTTGATGCAGGCACCAACTCAATCTCTCTATATTCAATGAACTGAGTGGATGTTATCCTAGGCAACAAGGTCCTGATGTGAGTTTTCAGAGAAATGACCTCTGTCTGAACATTAGCCTGGGTTGTTGAGGGATTTCCAAGGAACTCCTCAGCCAACATCTCAACAGAATGCAATTTAGTTCTACCACTGGAAGCCTTGCCTGGCTACAAAAGATGGGCAGTTCAGACTCTATATCCTCCATTATTAGGAGTCCTCACTAGGGTCATTCTCATAGATTACAGGAAGTTTCCACAGCACTAGGCTTCCATACCACCCCAGAAATGCCCTGTAATTCCAGCTGTCTCTCCCCATACTCTTTCCCCTTACCTGATCCCTCCCTTTTTAACCCCACTGCCCTGGGTCCATCTTCAAAATCTATTCTATCTCCCCTTCCCAGGGAGATACATACCTCCCCCTATACCTCATTGTGCCCTCTGTGTCTGCAGATGGTAGCTTGATTATTATTGTGGGATATTTGAACACTGTGTGAAGATATATTGCTGTGATTGGTTTAATAAAGAGATAAATGGTCACTAGCCAGGCAGGAGGTATAGACAGAACTTCTAGGGACAGAGAGCATTATGGGACAAAGAAAGGTAGGTTGCCAGACAAACATGGAGATGAAACAGAAGGTACAAGATAGAAGAGAGGTAATGCCATGTGGCAAACTGTAGATTAATATAAATGGGTTAATTTAAGTTATAAGAGCTAGTGGAGAGAAGCCTAGGCTAAAGGCCATGCTTTCATAGTTAATAAGAAGTCTCCATGCCATTATTTGGAGGCTGGCAATCCAAAGATAGTCCAACAAGAAAGTTTGCTACATATGACGCCCAACGTCTGACCACATATATCCACATATGGCCCCAGAAAGCTAAAAAAAAGTTCTATCAAAGTGCCTTTCTGGTGACCATGGTCTTGGGTAGGCTCTGCATACACAGACACAGCTCTGTTAAGAGGCTCTGCTATGCAGCTGAGCACTTGAGCAGCTGGTGTGCTAGGTAAAAATGCCTGCTGATTGGATTCAGCAACTTCCCAGAGCTGGAATAGTAAATGTGGCTCCCAACAGTTCCCTCATGAGGTAGGCTTTCAGGGAACTGACAGAGGTAGAGCCAGGTGCCAGAGCCATGGGATGGTAGCCTAGCAGTTTAAGGTTTGTCTACCATGGTCAGAGAATGCTGCCGTCATGCAATAAATTCAAGTCCAGACCAAAGAAAACCTCTAAACACATATAGTATGCTTAAAAATGTGCTTAGATGCTAAAGAAAACAAAAAAAGAAAATGGGTATAGACAATCATAGAAAAATAGTTTAAAAAATAATGAAGTCTTTAAAGAGAGGGCAAAGTAATATTAAAAAAAGCCACATAAAGATGGGAAATACACAGTGTATCTGGATCTTGTATGGAGTTTTATTTTAACTTCAAAATTTTAAATGCTATTACAAAAAACAATAGCTGCTGAGAGATATTGGCTTATGGAAACTGCTAAATTAAATCAACATATGTATTTAAAAATGCCTTAACTTCAAAATGAAAGTCAGAAAATACATTGTTTTGGGGGAGGGGCTATGCCTTTGTTTCCACAGGAAGCAAAATGTTATGGTTCTCTTCAAAATTAATAAAGACCAGATTTGATTGAGGGAGAACTGAGGATCCTGGCTACAGATGTGAGGGAAAAAGCCAAGAAAGACTACACGACAGGTGATGTATTTATGCTGATCCCTAGACATGTGAAAAGCTCTGAGACTTGATGAGGCATGATAAATCTTGTTGGCTAGAGAATCCTCATGACTTATTATTAGATGCTGTCCTTTCATATGGCACGGATAGAGGTTTGGTTATACAGTCCAAATGGACTTATAAAGTTAGCAGATACCTTTTACCTGCTCAAACATAGAACAAAACAATCATTTTTAACTGACTTGTGCACACTACACATTCCATACTTTTGTTAATGCATATATATATATATATATATATATATATATATATATATATTTTAAATTTGTGTTTTCAGAAAGAAAAAAAAAGTCCAGACACCAATGAAGACAAGTAGACCAGATGACCCAGCCTCTCAGAATGCTTCTGTTGCAGTTTACTCAAAATTCTGTTTCCAAAATTATTTTAAAGTTGCTAGCTGAGATAGCCCAGCCTCACAGACTACTCCAGCCAAGACTTCAGATAAGGCTTACATTTTCCCATTATACAGAGGCTGAACAATAAATGATGCAGCTAGTTCTCCCAGGGCTGGATCACTATCCCAATTTTCTCAGGGTCCTCTAAAGATGCTGTCATCCCCAGACAGTAATAAGCAGTATAGAGATTACAAGATCTACATTCCCAAGAGGTAGTATGGTGGGTTTTGGTTATTCAATGGATTATGGATGTTTATCATTATTTAGTGCAGTTGATTACAAATTATTATTGGTCATTGTCAGGGAAAAGGCTGAACAAAAGATTAGATTTACGGATCTCTTTGTGAAAGGGAAAAGGCAGGATATAGTATAAAAAGATGGGATAAAAGGGTGGATTCTTGAATCTGTTTTTGAACAACCATTAGTCTCAAATATTTTACAATGGTATGAGTTTTTGTATATTGATACAAATTCAAGGTTATTTTTGTTATAGTGTATATACATTTCTACTTTTGTTTAAGATATTGTAGCTATGCAGCTCATTTAAAAATGTGAAGTTTCAGTCCTTAAAAGCTATTTAGGATAATAAGGAAAGACAGGTTAGTAGTTAGTCATCTGTAACAATCAAGCTTATAAATCATGTTAGGTATGTTTTCAAGGTCAAACAGAAATATATTTTAAATAGATGATCTTAAAATACTTCAAAGACCTACAGAATATGGAATTTAAAATATTTTAATAATATAAGACTTTTCATGACAGTGACACACATCTGCTCCTGGCAACACCAATCTCCTTCAAAGAAGGATCATGGGCATTGAAGAACCTCCATGGAATTTGCTTTCTTTGTGGCAAAGTTAGCCACTGGGCAAAGAAACTGCCCTTGCCTCAACTGCTGACAGTGTGCTTTCCAATCTGGACAAGCAGGACACAAAAGAAAGTGACTGCTAAACTTTGCCAAGACAGGTAGGACAATCCCTGCTTCACAAAAAAAAAGTCTGCCAGATATTCTAGGCCTGTAGGCTGAAGATTGCTACCCCAACATTGCAGAGGAATCTTAGGTGACTGTCCAGGTAGCCAGATGTTTTGGTCCTATCTATAGTTTGGAAAGTTTTTGCTCTGTACTTCCTGCTTACTCAGGTCATATTATATTTTTCTTAGGTCTCTGATGGAGTTGAAGTTGATCTCATAGTTATAGTTGCAGTTTTTGTTGTTACCAAATTTAGAAAATAAAATTACATAAGAGATATAAAGTATATAAGGTTGAGAAACATAAAAGCTTAAGTTGTTTATCTAAGAAAATATTTTGAGGTCTAAAATGGTAGTTTGGGGTTGGTAATAGAAGTTAGAACAGAAATTAAATTAGGTACAAAACTTTGGACTCACCGAGATAGGATAGATAATGGAATATTTTCTTTGAATTTGTCAAAACCAATGGACTGGACATAGTAAATATAATTCTTACCTGAAAAATATTCTTCTTGTATATAGTTTTACTATGTTAGAATTAAAACCTTTCCTTTTTATTTAGACAAAAGGGAGAAATATTGTTGGATATTTGTACACTATGTGAAGATATACTGCTGTGACTGGTTTAATACAGAGCTGAATGGCCACTAGCTAGTCAGGAGGTATAAGTGGGACTTCCAGGGACAGAGAGGACTCTGGGAAGAAGAAAGGTGGAGTCACCCGACAGACACAGAGAGGAAACAGGAAGTTCAAGATGGAAGAGAGGTAAAGCCATGTAACAGAATGTAGATTAATATAAATTGGCTAATTTAAGTTATAAGAGCTAGTTGAGAGACACCCAAGCTAAAGGCCAAGATTTTATAATTAAGAAGTCTCCATGTCTAGGGATATGACTCATTTCTATTAATAATAAAAAACTTTTCCAAAACTGACTTCTGAAGGCACCTAGGCTAGTTAAACTTAACTAGTTTCAACTGCTGGACACAGAATCTGACTCTAGAGACAGATCAGAAGAACCATTGCTAAGCATTACTGTGGAACTTCTACACTCTATTACCAAGAATGTATACTTGTAATTGTTATGCTGGACTTCCTATTAGTTAACCATTTTACAGAAGCTATATTAGAACAGGAGCCCTATAGCAGTGAGGTACAAATAAATACAAAGCTTCAGCCCCAAACCACATAGAGCAAACATGAATGACGTTTCACAAAAGGCAGAGATTAAAGAAATGCTTGCTTCTGATGATGAGGAAGAGATTTCTGCTAAAATAGAAAAGGCTTATGTCCCAAAGCTAACAGGGACAGTTAAAGGTAAATTTGATGAA